TAAAAAAGTAAATCAGAGCTAAAAAAGTGCAAAAACGCAGGCAAATTTGCCTGTGTTAGTCTACATATTAAGGGATAGATTATGAAATATCTTCAGAAAAATTATCTCTAGTAATGGATCATGCGACTGAAATTTTCAAGACATTATATTCCAGAAAAATCTTACCTATACCTGAAGAAGATTCATCATCCACACCAGCTATGGTAGAGATTGCTAACCATAAAAATTTTCTTCACGATTAGAGTCATGTGACTGAAAACTGTGAAGATTTTCTTCACGATCAAAGTCATGTGACTTCAAAAATTAATCTGACTAATACATATATTTCTTTGAAAGCATCTCAATTTAAGTTAACAAATAATCGCACCTATTTTCACAACAAGATATTAGATCAATATCAAAATTTATATAGAGAATTTAATAGTAAAAATTTTGATTATTATAGCATTACTAATAAGACATCATGCTCATTATGCAAGTTAGATCATAATAATGAGAATGGTGTGAAAGGCCGATATGAAACCGGATCCTATTATATCAAATATGAACAGCATGGAGTTGAAATTGAGATAATAGCATAAAGCACAATAATATGAAAAATTAAAATTATTTGCTCTTTGAAAGATTTATTTTTTTCTAACACTCATTACGTGATTTTGAATTAACATATATTTTTTATATGATAACATGGTTTTTACCTCTGATAAAAAAATACTAACTGATGACTATCTTAAATAGCATGCTAAATTGGCTTTACTGACTATTTTAACAGATAAAAAAAATCATTTTAGACTATATAAAAGATATAAAGAAAAGACTGGAGAAGATCCTTGGCAATATATTGATTCTTCTAGATCCTCTCAAATCGAAGATAGCAAAAATGAAACAGAGGTATGCATATTATCTATAAACAAAAATATATTTCTCAATTCTCATCTTCCAATTTCTATCTTACCCAATGATCTAGAAGAAAAACAAAATCTTGTTATTTATATCATATTGGAGCAATTCAATAATTTATCGCTTAAACATAGTATTAAAAATAGCGATTATTATGATTATTTAGGAATATGTCCTTTATGCAATGAAGATTATAAAGAAAGTATATGGAAAGATTTAAAAGGTGAATGGGGTTCTGGTAATTATTATGACAAAAAAACATATTGTCTCTATTGTTGTAAGAGAACTTTTAGTGAAATCCCATAGTAAATGTAAAAGCATAAGCTTTTTTCTTGCAAGCTCAAAAAAAAAATATATAATTAATTTAATCTCTTTAGCTCAAATATATATTTACTAAATGTTTTTCTAATATATCTGGCTTTAAGCAAGAATTGTGAAAAGACGGGAAAAAAATTAACTAAATATTAATAATTGCAAATTATAAGATTAATTCTAACTAATATTTTTGCCAATTTATATAATCATATAAAAATAAAATTTGGTAAAGGTGTGAACCCTCACTTCTTTATTTAATATTTTTTTTTGTCAGAATGACAATATACAAATATATATTTTTATTATAAAAAAAAATAAATACCTCAAAGAGGCACCCTTAATGGGTTATGTTGGTGGGGCTACATTTGATCTAATATTTCTTGAGCTTAACCAGGATTTATATCGCTCCAGTCATCATTTTCTATATGTCTTATTAAAGATGCCTCTGAAATTGGTATTACATAATCACTTCTTTCAACATATTCCTCATTGTCTAGTAAGATGCCATAATTTGAATTATCTGATTTAAATAAAATTCTACTATATAAGTATTCATATTGTTATATTAGCAGTATATATATTAGTATTTTTAAATTTTTATTAAGTAACTCTGTGTAACTTCTAATTGTAGTACAAATCTGATTCCACCAAT